GTTTCTCATCTCCACTGTCTATTGGATACCTCAAAATAAATGTCTGTTTTTTAAAATTATATCCTTTTTTTTAAACGTCACCATAATTTCCCCCTAGTATACCTTCCTCTCTTCCTTTTAGAGAGCTATTGCATATAATAAATATTTTTTTCTTTCTTAATGGTACTTTTTTCCAATTACATGTAAAGATAGTTTTCAACATTAATTTTTATAAGATTTTGAGTTCCAAATTTTTCTCCCTCCTTCCTGTCTCTCTCCGTTCCCCAAGAAAGCCAGCAATCTGATATAGGTTATACATGTACAACCATGTTAAACGTATTTCCTCATTAGTCATGTTGTGAAAGAAGAATCAGAACAAAAGGGGAAAACCATGAGAAAGAAAAAACAAAAAAACAAAGTGAAAATAATATGCTTCAATCTGCATTCAGACTTTATAGTAATTTCTCTGGATATGGTTTGCATTTTCCATCATGAGTCTTTTGGAATTGTCTTGGATCATTGTATTGCTGAGAAGAGCTAAGTCTATCATAGTTTATCATTGTACAATGTTGCTGTTACTGTGTATAATGTTCTCCTGGTTCTGCTCACTTCACTCAGTATCAGTTCATGTAAATCTTTCCAGATTTTTCTGAAATCTGCCTGCTCATTATTTCTTGTAGCAAAAATAGTATTCCATTACATCCATATACCAAAACTTGTTCAGCCTTTCCTCAATTGATGGGCATCCACTCAATTTTCGGTTCTTTACCACCACAAAAATTCTTTGCTGCTTTATATATTTTTATACATGTGGGTCCTTTTCCCTTTTTTATGATCTCTTTGGGATACAGACCTAGTAGTGGTATTGCTAGATCAAAGGGTATACACAGTTTGATTGTTCTTTGGGCATAGTTCCAAATTGCTCTCCAGAATGGTTGGATCAGTTCATAACTCCACCAACAATGCATTAGTGTTCCAACTTTTCTACATCTTTTCCAACATTTATCATTTTCCTTTTCTATCATATTAGCCAATCTGATAGGTGTGAGGTGGTACCTCAGAGTTGTTTTAATTTGTATTTCTCTAATCAATAGTGATTTAGAGCATTTTTTCATGTGACTTCAATTTCTCCCTCAGAAAACTGCCTATTCGTGTCCTTTGACCATTTATCAATTGGGGAATGACTTGTATTCTTATAAATTTGACTCAGTTCTCTATATATTCAAGAAATGAGGCTCTTATCAGAAACACTGGCTGTAAAAAAATTGTTTCCCAGCTTTCTACTTTCCTTCTAACTTTGGTTCTATTGATTTTGTTTGTGCAAAACCTTTTTTATTTAATGTAATCCAAATTATCTATTTTGCATTTTGTAATGTCCCCTATCTCTTGTTTGGTCATATATTCTTCCCTTCTCCATAGATCTGGTAAACTATTCCTTGCTCTCCTAATTTGCTTATGGTATCATCCTTTATGTCTAAATCATGTACCCATTTCAACCTTATCTTGGTATAGGATGTGAGATGTTGGTCTATGCCTAGTTTCTGCCATACTAACACATAGTATTTTTTTAAAGATAAAAAGAAAAAGAGTGAAAACTCAGTATAATTGATTAATACATCAAAAAAGTCTGAAAAGATACACTTGTAGACTTCCCACCTCTTCACAAAAGTGGGGTAGGAGTGTCTTCTCATATCTTTTCTTTCAAGCCATACTTTTTCTTTGTAATTTTGAAATGTTTACTTTTTTGTGGTTGTTCATAGTTCACATTTATATGAATTTCAGAGTTTACAAAGCCCTTTCTGTTGAAGGGTCTGAATCTCTCCCCTATCCATCTGCTATGATGAATAGCACACTAAGGTTCAGGAAAAGCACATGGAATTGACTTTGTGGGACAACTGGGATGTCTGTGTGAATCCTATAGGAGAAAAACATATGCTAACTTTTGAATTATAGTGAAGAGGTTTTTGTACTAGTATTCTCTCTTCATTAGTCCCCACCCAACATGACCCTGTGTTAAAACCTTTAAAGTAGCCACCAATTCTTCCTTCTCCAGCCCCCACATGTCATAACCAGTGTGCTGGGGCAGGTTTTTTTGGACTGTTCTATGCGTGGTTGGCTCCCCTTACTCTTTGCCTTCTCAAAAATTCATGTGTCACAGACAGGACCATGTATGTACAGTAAGACACATTTAGAGAAGTGTTATCCATGTCACATATTTTTAGTCAAACATATTAATATGTTGATATTCATCTGATTAGTGGGAGTCATGCTTTTTGTTTTTTGCATGTACAGTAATAAAGATAGATTGAACTGAACTGTTTTCAGCCTCACCTTTCCCTACTTGTGACCAACTGCCAGTGGTTCTCTATAGAAATTCCTCTCTTCGAATAAATGATATACTCTTCACAGGTCTACAAACTGGTTTGCCTTAATCTCAATGAGCAGTTTTGAGTCTGTCAGGAACTTGTGGGCCCACAGCTTCTCCTCCAATAGAGACCAAGTTGAAAAGCATAATCTTCTACTACTAGTACCCCAATTGCTAAGGTTCTCTCTCTCCAAACTTCCTTGTATTTAACTTGTTTGCACATATCTGTGTTTATCAACTCTGGTTTTGCTGTGTGTATTTCTATATAGACTTGCCTTGCCCATTAAAATATATGCTGTTAGAAGTAGGAACAAGATATTCATTTTCACACATAGTAGGTGATCAATACTTGATCAACCCTCCCCCAAATTGTATGCTGAAGCCTCTTTTCACTCTATGTATTTTGGTTGTCAGCCTCTTTGTGCAACTCTGCCTCACTAAATTCATAGTCATCATCTTGTGATGAAATTAGTCCTCCTCAAAAACAAAGGACAAATAACATTACCCTGGTGATCATATCAGCTCCTATGGATTTAATTATCCTTTCCATACTTATGATTCCTAGATCTATTTATCCAGCCCTAACCTCTCTCCTGACCTCCAGTTTCTCATCTCCACCTCCAATCTCATCTCAAAATAGATGTCCAGTAGACATCTTAAACTCGAAATCATGTCCAAAACGGAATTCATTATCTTCTTTCCCCTGCCCCTAAGCCTTCCCCTCTTCCTAATTCTGTTTTACTGATGAGAGCACCATCATCTTCCCAGTTAGCCAGACTCACAACCTAGGTATCTTCCTTGATTCCTCATTCTCTGACCCTCCAGATCCAATTTGTTGACAAGTCGTGTCAATTTTATCTTTATAACCTCACTTGTATATTCCCCCTTCTCCTTTTACATTGCCACCATTCTAGGCCAGATCCTTTTCACCTCATACCTGGATTATTACAATAGTTTGCTGGATGGTCTCCCTGCCTTGTCCCCCTACACCAGTATATCCTCCATTCATTTGTTAAATTGTTCTGAATAACACGCCTGACCATGTTATGCCACCACCCCAGCCCCATTCAAGAAACTTCAGTGGCTCCCTATCACTTCCAGGATCAAATATAAAATCTTCTATTTGACTCTCAAAGTCCTTCATTACCTGCCCCCCCCCATTTTTCCAATCTTCTTACACCTTATCTCCACTTACTCTTCAATCTAATAACACTGGCCTCTTTGCTCTTCCTTGAACAAGAGAATCCCTATTGCTAGTATGCCTGGAATGCTCTCCTTCATCCTCCCTTCTTGGCTTCCTTTGAGTCCCAGCTAAAATCCCACCTTATGCAAGAAGCTTTGGCTCCCTTAATGCTAGTGCCTCCCTTCTGAGATTATATCAGATTTATCCTGTACACAGTTGTTTGTATGTTGTCTCCCCCATTAAACTATGAGCTAGTAGAGAGCAGTGTCTGGGTTTCTGTTTTTGCTATGCCTTTATTAGTATCCCCATTATTTAGCACTGTACTGGGTCCATATTGGGTGCTTAATAAATGCTATTGCCACTGGACATGGAGCAAACTAAGATGGAGGGAGCATATTCCAGTCATTGAGTATACTTTATTTGAATGCTTGGAGGTAGAAGATGGTATGTCAAGTTTAGGGAACAAGTTAGTAATCCAATTTTGCTATAACAGAGTATATGAACAGGAATAATGTGAAATAAGGCTGGGAAGCTAGAATGCAGTCAGCTTGCAGGGAATCTTAAATGAAGCAGTTTGTATTTTATCCTCAAGGCAATAGGGAGTCACTAAAGGTTTCTGAGAAGGGGGAGTGTAACAACCGGATTTTTGCTTATTTTTAAAAAAATTATTGTAAGACATAAGGGACTGAAAACAAGACTATATAACAATAGAGGTGAGAGGTGATAGGGCCCTGAACTAAGGTTGTTGTAACTATTTGAGAGTACAGAAGTATGAGAATGTGAGATCCAGAAACAGAATGGACATGACTTGGTAACAATTGGATATAGGGAATAAGGAAAAGTGAAGAATCTAGAATGACTACAAAGTTTCAATCTGGGTGACTACAAGTATTATAAGGCAGTTCAACTGAAACAGGAAAGTTTGGAGGACATTTGGGTTGGGGAGTGTTGGTAAGGGAAGAATTCTTTTTTGAACACACTGAATATGAGAGATGCTGGTGGCATATTTGTATATATACATTCCACAGGGAATGGGCAGACTGGAGTTCTAGCAAGAGATCTGGGCTGGGTTTACAGATTTTGGAATTATCAGTTTAGAAATAAGTAAATTCACAGAAGCAGATGAAATCTCCAAGATAGTAAAAGGAAGCCTCGGACAGTCTTGGGAAACTTTGGTTAGAGAGCATAAAATGGATGATAATCCAGCAAAGGAGACAGAAGAAATGGTCAGAGAGGAGAAACAGGAGAGTGCAATATTTAGAAGGAAATAGTCAATAACAAGCATTAGAAACTGCAGGGAGATCAAGGAGGATGAAAACTAAAAAAAAAAAATTGGATTTAAATCTTGGCTTCATTAGCCCTGTGACCTTGCCTAACCACTCTCAGCAATCAGGCACACAACATACATTCATAGCAATCTCTCTCATGATAATCAGGTACCCCACTCAGAGTCCCAAAATATCACACACCATATTCTTTAAGCATGAATTTATTGAGTAATAAACAACTCAACCTCCCTGGATGGAAAAGAAAATCCAGGACTAGATTAAAAATAAACAGAAATTTAAATTTACCTAACTAGTCCAACAAGGGCCTTGATATTCTAAGAGTACTATTCCAATGTCCAAAAACAGGATTGTGAAATGTGGAAATGGAAAAGTAATCATCAAAATCCTTCTAGGATGGTCAAGGGGAATTGAGATACAAGTATAGTTAATTCAGAAAGCACAACTGGTACTGGGGAAGGGGGCAAGAGGCAAGATGTGGGCTAGGGGCTTCTCAGGGTTCTCTAATCCCACATGGAGGAGGCTATTAATCTACTTCCTCAATAGTGGGGCCAGAAGGGGGTCCTTTTGGAGGAACATACCCACAAGTGCCCCCCATGCCTCCTCCACATCCCTCGTAGAGCTTGGTGATGATAGGGTTACACACCTGCTCCAATTCTTTCCTCTTATGCTCATACTCATCCTTCTCAGCTAGCTGATTGGACTCCAGCCAGGAAAGGACCTCTTGGCATTTATCTAGCACTTTTTTCTTGTCCTCTTCACTGATCTTTCCCTTCAAGCTTTCCTCACTCACTGCATTCTTCATGTTGAAGGCATAAGATTCCAGAGCATTCTTGGCAGAAACTTTCTCCCTTTGGGCCTCATCTTCAGCTTTATACTTCTCTGCCTCTTGTACCATTCTTTCCACTTCTTCCTTGCTCAGGCGCCCTTTATCATTAGTGATGGTGATCTTGTTGGCTTTGCCTGTGCTCTTATCCACAGCTGTGACATTCAGAATTCCATTAGCATCAATGTCAAAGGTCACCTCAATCTGGGGGACACCACGGGGAGCAGGAGGGATGCCACTCAGGTCAAAACGACCCAGGAGGTTGTTGTCCTTGGTCATGGCCCGTTCTCCCTCATATACCTGGATCAGGACACCTGGCTGGTTGTCAGAATAGGTGGTGAAGATCTGGGTCTGCTTGGTGGGGATGGTGGAGTTGCGTTTGATCAGTGCTGTCATCACACCTCCTGCTGTCTCCAGCCCCAAGGAAAGTGGTGCCACATCCAGCAGCAACAGGTCCTGCACTTTCTCTGATTTGTCACCCATCAGAATGGCTGCCTGCACTGCTGCTCCATAGGCCACAGCCTCATCAGGGTTGATACTCTTGTTCAGGTCTCTGCCATTGAAGAAATCTTGCAGCAGTTTCTGCACCTTGGGGATTCGAGTAGAGCCACCCACAAGGACAATGTCATGGATCTGAGCCTTGTCCATCTTGGCATCTCGCAGGGCTTTCTCTACAGGCTCCAGGGTGCCCCGGAACAGATCTGCGCACAGTTCTTCAAATCTAGCACGGGTAATGGATGTATAGAAGTCAATGCCTTCAAATAAGGAGTCAATCTCAAGATTGGCTTGGGTGCTGGAAGACAGGGTTCTCTTAGCTCTCTCACAGGCTGTTCGAAGTCTTCTCACAGCACGCTTGTTCTGGCTGGTATCTTTCTTATGTTTTCGCTTGAATTCCTCAACAAAATGGTTCACCATTCGGTTGTCAAAGTCCTCCCCACCCAGGTGGGTGTCTCCAGCAGTGGCTTTCACCTCAAAAATCCCATCATCAATGGTGAGAATGGAGACATCAAAAGTGCCCCCACCCAAGTCAAAGATCAGGACATGTCTCTCACCTTTACCAGACCGGTCCAGGCCATAAGCAATGGCAGCTGCTGTAGGCTCATTGATGATTCTCAGCACATTGAGGCCAGCAATCACCCCAGCATCCTTGGTGGCCTGGCGTTGAGAGTCATTAAAATAGGCTGGGACAGTGATGACAGCATTGGTGACTGAGTAGCCCAAATAAGCCTCAGCAGTCTCCTTCATCTTGGTCAGCACCATGGAGGAGATCTCTTCAGGGTAGAAGGCCTTGTTCTCACCTTTGTAGGACACCTGAACTTTAGGTTTGCCCCCATCATTTATCACCTGGAAGGGCCAGTGCTTCATGTCGGATTGCACCACTGAATCTCCAAATTTGCGGCCAATCAGACGTTTGGCATCAAAGACTGTGTTCTGGGGATTCAAAGCCACCTGGTTTTTGGCTGCATCCCCAATGAGTCTCTCTGTGTCTGTGAAGGCCACATAGCTGGGAGTGGTGCGGTTGCCCTGGTCATTAGCAATGATCTCTACCTTGCCATGCTGGAACACCCCCACACAGGAGTAGGTGGTGCCCAGGTCGATGCCAATGGCGGTACTTTTGGCAGATGACATGACTCCTTCCCACAAGCTCTGGGAAGGCTGAAGGATGGGTCCCTGTCAGGGTGACTACTGGGCACGGTCAGAAACAGGTCCTCTCAGGGTGGGGGTTGGGAGATGTCTTCCTTTCTCTGAGTAACACCTAGGGAGGGTTGGCCTCTCTGAAAGCCTATCCCCCTGCCTCCAATCCCCCCAGTTTTCTTCAGAACCAGCATCCCCTTCAGCAGTCTCAGTTCACTTTTCTTTGGGGAGAAGGGAGGAGCGCAAAGCTGGGGCCAAAGGTCTACGGGGGTCACCTCAAGAGAGCCTCGCTCCACCCCTCATGAACATCCGGCCCCCTTTCCTAAGCTCTCCCCCCCCCCGCCCCTTCTAGTTTCAACCAATTACGGCCCTGAGATGTTCGAGAAGAGTCCTTGTCCCTGGCACCCCGGCTCAACAACGTTCGCAACGGTCTGAACCGCAGGTTCCGCCTCTTTCGGACAGGGCCAACCAATCACGATCCCCATAAGCCCCACCCTCCTGCCCATCTCTCCTTGTCTGCCCTGCCCAAGGCCCCGCCTCCCTCCCGGGGCGCTGGTTCAGGTCCTTCTCGAGAACATTCGGGCACTTTCTCTTAGTCAGCCGCCCCTCCCCCTAACGTCCGGGGTCCAATCAGAATCCCCACTAGCCTCTCCCCCCCCCCACCTCTCTGTTCTGACTTCGGTCTAGAATTTCATGCACCTTTCAAACTATGTATAACGTTACGGTCATTAACGTAAACAAGGCCCCAGCCGCTCCATAGGCCAAGTGGCGCAGCAAACACACAACTCTCATTATCCATTTTATTCTCATTTCCAAACGGGCGAGTGAGCCAGCAGTCCGTTGCCATGGTAACGAAGTGCAGTGGGCGACACCAAAATCGGCCGTCTACACGCTACGTAAACGTCCTCCTCTCTATTCTCTCCCGCCCCCAAGCTCGTAATTCCCAGGAATACCCAGAAATATCCCGAAAGTTCTGAAGAGGGGTGGGACGCCCGCGATGATTGGTTAGAATTGTTTCTGGGGCGGGACTGGGCGCCTAGAGGCCTCCTCCATGGCGCGAAATCGCTGGAAAATTCTTGAACGGGAGGGAGACAGGGAGGGGGACACCGCCCCATGAGCGCTGTGATTGGCTGAGACATGCAAAAAGGTGGGTTCTTAGGAGAATATATAAATACTGAGCACTGCAGCGGCTTCTGACAGCTTGCGAACTGGAGAAAAACTGCGCAACAGAAGTTTCTGATTTTTTCACAGAAGATAGCTGTTCCCAGACGACTGCGACAGAGCCAGAACTGTAGCCTCCTGGAAGATCCCGAGTAAAGGAGTATTTTTCCAAGTCATCTGCGCTCCCGAAAGAGGAACACGTTGTGTGCGTGCTGTGCCTGCCGTTTCCTGGACTGAGCTTCAGAACCAGAGGTCTCGAGAAATTCTCCAGGATGTCATCTGCCAAAGGTACCGCCATTGGCATCGACCTGGGCACCACCTACTCCTGTGTGGGGGTGTTCCAGCATGGCAAGGTAGAGATCATTGCTAATGACCAGGGCAACCGCACCACTCCCAGCTATGTGGCCTTCACAGACACAGAGAGACTCATTGGGGATGCAGCCAAAAACCAGGTGGCTTTGAATCCCCAGAACACAGTCTTTGATGCCAAACGTCTGATTGGCCGCAAATTTGGAGATTCAGTGGTGCAATCCGACATGAAGCACTGGCCCTTCCAGGTGATAAATGATGGGGGCAAACCTAAAGTTCAGGTGTCCTACAAAGGTGAGAACAAGGCCTTCTACCCTGAAGAGATCTCCTCCATGGTGCTGACCAAGATGAAGGAGACTGCTGAGGCTTATTTGGGCTACTCAGTCACCAATGCTGTCATCACTGTCCCAGCCTATTTTAATGACTCTCAACGCCAGGCCACCAAGGATGCTGGGGTGATTGCTGGCCTCAATGTGCTGAGAATCATCAATGAGCCTACAGCAGCTGCCATTGCTTATGGCCTGGACCGGTCTGGTAAAGGTGAGAGACATGTCCTGATCTTTGACTTGGGTGGGGGCACTTTTGATGTCTCCATTCTCACCATTGATGATGGGATTTTTGAGGTGAAAGCCACTGCTGGAGACACCCACCTGGGTGGGGAGGACTTTGACAACCGAATGGTGAACCATTTTGTTGAGGAATTCAAGCGAAAACATAAGAAAGATATCAGCCAGAACAAGCGTGCTGTGAGAAGACTTCGAACAGCCTGTGAGAGAGCTAAGAGAACCCTGTCTTCCAGCACCCAAGCCAGCCTGGAAATTGATTCCTTGTTTGAGGGTATTGACTTCTATACCTCCATTACCCGAGCCAGGTTTGAAGAGCTGTGCTCAGATCTGTTCCGGGGCACCCTGGAGCCTGTAGAGAAAGCCCTGCGAGATGCCAAGATGGACAAGGCTCAGATCCATGACATTGTCCTTGTGGGTGGCTCTACTCGAATCCCCAAGGTGCAGAAACTGCTGCAAGATTTCTTCAATGGCAGAGACCTGAACAAGAGTATCAACCCTGATGAGGCTGTGGCCTATGGAGCAGCAGTGCAGGCAGCCATTCTGATGGGTGACAAATCAGAGAAAGTGCAGGACCTGTTGCTGCTGGATGTGGCACCACTTTCCTTGGGGCTGGAGACAGCAGGAGGTGTGATGACAGCACTGATCAAACGCAACTCCACCATCCCCACCAAGCAGACCCAGATCTTCACCACCTATTCTGACAACCAGCCAGGTGTCCTGATCCAGGTATATGAGGGAGAACGGGCCATGACCAAGGACAACAACCTCCTGGGTCGTTTTGACCTGAGTGGCATCCCTCCTGCTCCCCGTGGTGTCCCCCAGATTGAGGTGACCTTTGACATTGATGCTAATGGAATTCTGAATGTCACAGCTGTGGATAAGAGCACAGGCAAAGCCAACAAGATCACCATCACTAATGATAAAGGGCGCCTGAGCAAGGAAGAAGTGGAAAGAATGGTACAAGAGGCAGAGAAGTATAAAGCTGAAGATGAGGCCCAAAGGGAGAAAGTTTCTGCCAAGAATGCTCTGGAATCTTATGCTTTCAACATGAAAAGTGCAGTGGAGGATGAAGGCCTGAAGGGCAAGATTAGTGAGGAAGACAAGAGAAAGGTGCTGGAGAAATGCCAGGAGGCTATTTCTTGGCTTGATGCCAACCAGCTGGCTGAGAAAGAAGAGTTTGAGCATAAGAGGAAGGAGTTGGAGCAGGTGTGTAACCCTATCATTACAGGTCTTTACCAGGGTGCTGGGGGTCCCCCTGGGGGAAGTTCTGGGGCTCATTCCCAGCATTCAAGCTCTGGAACAGGCCCCACTATTGAAGAAGTGGATTAACTGTACTGTCTTACACCATTGGACTATGTTACACTTCTGAGATTCTGGGAATTTGGGGAATCTTTGCTTCCATTATGATTTTCCTCCTTTAAACATATATAATATATGATCATTATGCAATATAATTATAGACCTCTGTCCTTTTAATAAGTGTTTCTTTTTTTCTTATCCTTTCCCAAAGTAGGGGGTGAGTCAGCACTGCTTCCCCTACTTGTGTCGCTGTGTAGTGCACTTGGTCATAACTCGAATATTTTCTATTTTTATTTTCAGTAGCTAATGCTTAGAATATAGGAAAAATAAACTATCCAAATGAATGACTAGTGTCTGTCTTTTTTAAATCCACTTTTGCCTAATTAGTAACACCTGTTGATTAAGGGCTTGGGTGAAGTCACAATGGGATTATGTAAAACTTGGTTTTTAGTGAGGAAAGCAGTTTCTGAGGGAATGGTATAATGAGTTTGGTGAGAGGAAGGTATCTAGTTTGTGGGTGGGTTAGTGAGATAGATCTGGATTTGGAACAAGGGGAGGGCTAAGGGAAAGACCTTTGAATTCTGATAAGAGGGATGGGATTTTTGCTGATAAAGGACTTTAGGTAGAAAGAGAAAGCCAGAGGATTTTGGGTCTGTTCACTGAATGACCACAGTGTACAGAGCCCTGGCATTGAAGGGTGGACCCCTTCCTTACCGTGGCCTTCTACCTACAGGCAGTACAAGAATGGCCTCCAGTGGCTGACAATAAAACACTAAAAACAAGGGTAGTGATATCTGAGAGAGCATGGGACCCAGAACCACAAGAACACAGAAAAAAATTCTTATTTTACCTAATCCTCTTCTACTCTCTTAAGATTCCCTAACCGCTGGTTTTCCTGATAAGTTCTGTGAAAGTACCTAAAGTTTTAGGTGCTTGGTTAGTGGGGAGGAAGGAGGATGGTGGCAAGTTCCTAAAGAACAGAAACTGTATCATGGATTTAGACCTTGCAAGGGAACTTAAAAGCTGATTTAACCACCTGCTTGCCCATTACACAGGTGTTGGGCACAGAGCTAGAATTTTAGCTCGCATTCTTTGACTCTGCACCACAATTTCTTTTATTAAACTGAGTCCTGTGACACAACCCTGGAGGGATGAAATACATTTATCATGGCGTGGCAGGAAGTATCCCTATCAAGTTTCTGTTTGAAAAGACAGAATTAGAAAGGCACATTATGAGTTGGGGAACAGGGATAGAAGTTGTCTGGGTCAGGAGGAGTTCTTAAAATTGTGAAACAGTGAGTGAAAGTTTCCACTGTACCTATGTAGCCAAGATCCCAACCGGGTGTTAAAAGAGCAGGGGAGGTACAGTCTTCAAGTTGGGACGTGCTCATTTGGATTCCCCTACAAGCTAGTTAGGCTAGATCAGGTTGAGGGCTGTGCATATCATGACCTCCCTAATTTTCAATTCCCTTCTAATTTTATAGGAAAAATATGAGCATTCCCATGAATAAATGTATTTGGTTGCATTCCTCATTCGTCTCCTTGTATATGTCTGTTGATACGTTGTGCCTGCTTGTACCAGTGTGTTTATTTCTCAGTACCTCAGTATGTAGATGTTTATTTCCAGGGCCGAGCCCACTTAAAACTTTAAAACTCTTTAATTCAAAAAAATTTTAAAATTTTTTGTTTCTGTAGATAGAATTATTCAGGTGAATATATCATTAAGTAATGAATATTGTATTGCAATGTCATTACTAATTAATATAAAACATTTACAAGATATGGAATACTGTACTAAGTACCATAGAGAAATGGACAAAAAAAGAAATAGGAGACATTCTCTACCCAGACAGACTAAAGAAGAAAGACCCAGGCAGCTAAAGAGGTAAAGGGCTTAGATAATGTTTTTGTTTTATTTTAAGTCTCTCTCCAAAATTATTGTTATCCCGATTTGCTGCTTGAGAACAAAGATATTTGTCATCTGAAGTATGCCCACTTGGTCATAATATGGCAAGGATAGCCAAAATTATTTCACACCAAACATTTATAAACTCAAGGATTAAAATTGCTAAAGTTTTTATTAAGTTTAATGGCTAAGGGTCCACAACCTTTCAAAAGTGAAGTACTACTTCAATCCCTTCTTTTCTTGGGTTTAGCTGTAGTTACAAAAGGGGGGGGTGGGGGGAGAAGGGAAGATGAGCAAGTGCCATTGGGAACCCTAGCTCAAAAAATCTGCCCAGATATTTCATCAATTAGAGAGAAATTTGAGTTAATAAGTATTCTTTAAAAAAAAATAAGTACATCTTTTAAAATGAAAGTAGTGCATAAGAAAGTTGAGCCTATCAAATCATTAGCATTTAGAAAAAAGGCATTAGTAAACCTCTTTTTTCTTACATATGTTGTTAAACATAATTATTAGGTGCCTGAGCCAGCCAATTTAACTCAAAATGTAGATGAATTGTAATATTATAGAATCTAACCACTATATAGGGTTTCTATGGAAAAAGATATGAGGTTTTCCTGTTTGGGTTATAATTAAAAACAAATCCCTTACAGCCACAATTGTAAAAAGGGTTTTTTTCTATCCTCACCAACCAAGCCAGTTGATGAGGGGACTCCAAAATTTAAGCCATTGACTGGCTCTTGCAAATCCTAGGGGAAGGGAGCAGGAGCTGTTTTAGTCAAGAACAAGGGCTTCAGTGGAATCAAGGGGTAGGGACTAGAAAGGGAATGGAGAATGGTGGGTGCTCCAATGGCGAGATAGAGCTGATGATGGTTGTGTAGTGGAAGGATAGGAAAATCATAAGATCATAAAAAGAGAGCTGAAAGACCCTCAGGAATCCTCTGGAACAGCTTTGTTGCAGAGGAGAGAATTCTTGTGGCTGCATACCAAAGGGTCACAGAACATGGTGTCATGGAAAAGTACAGGAATGAGGCAAAAGACCTGGGTCCTAGTCCTAATTCCGCCATCAGCTCACTAGGTGACCTCGGGCAGGCCTCTTTTCTCTATAAAATGAAGGTTAGGTTATATGATTTCTATGGTCCCATTGTTCTCTGACATTCTTTTATTCAGAATGTTCATATGCCAGACCCACTTAATTTAACTTCCTCCCTTTGATTCAGCAGTACCCCTACTAGATCTGTATTCCAAAGAGATCACAAAAAAGGGAAAAGGACCCACATATATAAAAATAGTTATAGCAGCAAAGAATTTTAGTGGTGGTAAAGAATTGGAAATGGAGGGGAGGCCTATCAATTGAAGAATGGCTGAACAAGTTGTGGTATATGAATGTAATGGAATACTATTGTTCTATAAGAAATGATGAGCAGGCAGACTTCAGAAAAACCTGGAAAGACTGACATGAACTGATGCTGAGTGAGGTGAACCAGGAGAACATTACATCGTGCAATGACCAACTATGCTAGACTTAGCTTTTCTCAGCAATACAATGAACTAAGACAATTTCAAAAGACTCATGATGAAAAATGCTCTCCACATCCAGAGAAAGAACTATGGAGTCTGAATGAAGATCAACGCATACTATTTTCACTTCGTTTTTGTTTTTTCTTTCTCATGGTTTTCCCCTTTTGTTATGATTCTTCCTTCATAACATGACTAATTTGGAAATGTGTTTTTTTTTTCATTCTGTGCAATATACTGTGTGGTAGGCCAGGAGACCATCCTCAGTATTGTACAGTTCTCTAGAGGATGAGGGTTTTATGGAAATGTGTTTAACATGATTGTACATGTATAACCCTATATCAGATTGCTTTCTTGGGGAGCAGGGAGGGAATGAAGGGAGGGAGAGAGAAAAATTTGGAACTGAAAACTTTACAAAAATGAATGTTGAAAACTATTTTTAGTGACAGCTACATTGTGTGATGATTAATGTTGATAGACTTAGCCCTTCTCAGAAATGCAAGGATCTAAGACATCTCCAAAGGTCTCATGATGGAAAATGCTAGCCACATCCAAAGAAAGAACTATGGAGCTTGAATGCATATCAAAGCATATTGTTTGCTATTTTTTTCTTCTGTTTTGTTTTGTTTCCTCTTTCTGGTGGTTCCTCCTATTGGTTCTAAATTCTTCTTTATATCACTAATGTGAAAATATGTTTAATAGGAATGTATATGTATAGCCTATACCAGATTTCGAGTAGTCTTGGGGAGGAAGGGAAGGGGGGAGGGGGTAGGGAAAGAAAAATTTAAAACTCAAAAGCTTGTGGAAGTGATTGTTGATAAATTAAAATAACTTAATAAAAAAAGAAAAATATATATAAAAGAAAATTATCTTTACATGTAATTGAAAAAATACTATTAAGAAAAAAAAGTTTAGAGGCCTTCCTGTATATACACTGATAAAACCTGAAATGTCACTATGAAGCATCACATGTGTGAAACCTTCCATATTTTCATATTACCTCTATTAGGAAACCTTGCCTAGTCCTCTTTTATAAGAAATGATCTTTCCTTCCATAGAACTCTAATAATATTTTGCTTATGCCTTTCTTACTATATAGATGTATAGATGATGGTCTGCTTTTCAGTGTAGTTACTGATTAGTTGTGTATGTGGCATTGGAAAGCACAAAAGACTTGGAATAAGGAAACCTGGATTCAAATCCCAGCTATATTTACCAGCTTTGACTTTGGGGAAAATCTGTCTGTTTCCTCATCTTTAAAAATGCAGATATAATAATTACTATACTACCTGCCGTAAAGAGTTGTTGTGAGGAAATAGATTTGTAGAAGTGAATGATATACATATGTGTGTTATTATATGTGTGAAATACTGTGCTCCATTTTGATATAACCTAGGAGCATTGTTTCAGCTATTAAATGCACTGAGGACCAAGTTGCCAAAGGTGCAGTCTCTGTTTAAGCCACAAGGTGGTGCTCCCAGCGCTCCAATTTCCGGGTTCAGCAGGGACATAGGCTGTAAATCTCCAGTCCTTTTGCATATGCATGAATAGGATTTATTTGTTTGGGCTTTTCAATCAGTCAGTACATCAATAAACATTTATTAAGTGCCTACTATGTGTTAAGCACTGTGCTAAGTGCTGGGGTTACAAAAAAAAAAAGAGGCAAAAGATAATCCCTACCCTTAACTAACTTATAATCAAATGTGGGAGACAACATGCAAATAAACATATACAAAGCATGCTACAGGATAAATAGGAAACAGTTAACAGAAGGAAGGCACTAGGATTAAGTGTTGTTGGGGAAGGCTTCCTATAGAAGGTGAGACTTTAGGTGGGACTGAAAGGAAGCCAGGGAAGCCAGTAGTCAGAGAGGTGAAAGGAAAGTATTCCAGTTAGAGAAAGTGCCTGGGGCCCAGAGATGGA